TGGTCGAGGAGCCACAAAATAAGCCAAACACGCTCAGGAGGCAGGAACAGGTCCATGGGGCCTGGAGCTGAAGGGTTCCCATTTTGCGCTGTTGATGGTATTAGCTGTTTTTCTAATGGCCATCAGCTCCTTGGGTGGCCTTGTGGTCCTGGGTAGCTAACACACCTTTTTCCACTGGTGCTCAGCAGTCCTGAAGTCATGGCCCTGTGAGTCGGTTTCCTGGCCCAGGTCCCAGGGCAGGGCCACTCCCCTTGGGCTGCACTGCAAGAGCGGAGGTAGGAAACGAAGAGGCTGCCTTCAAGAAGACATCAAGTCAAAGTCAGAATCAAAGCAGTCCTCGGTTAGAAGAAACTGGTCAGAAAGAGAGTCTTGTCACAACCAAGAGGAGAAAAGCTGAAAGAAACAGATAAGACTCAGGTCAAGGGGCTGGCCCCGTGGCCAAGTGGCTAAGTTCGCGCACTCCGCTGCAGGCGGCCCAGTGTTTCATTGGTTCGAATCCTGGGCGCGGACATGGCACTGCTCATCAAACCACGCTGACGCAGTGTCCCACATGCCACAACTAGAAGGACCCACAACGAAGAATATACAACTATGTACCGGGGGGCTTTGGGAAGAAAAAGGAAAAAGAAAATGTTTAAAAAAAAAAAAACGACTCAGGTCAAGTGTAGCGGAGGCAGGACCCAAGACTATAAAAATATAGCTGAAGAGAAGATTTCCTTAACCATTTATCTGCCACAGACTCCCTTTGACAGTCTCATCACACCTATGGACTCATCTCAGAAAAATGTTCTTAAATGCATAAGATAAAATACGTAGGGTTCCGAAGGATACAAATTATGTACAAACATGGTTATTATCGAAATATATAAAAGAACACGTCTGTGCATAGTAATACATGTGCTTCTTTATGAATGTATTCAACAAGAGGCACTGTCAGTAAATCTGATAGCCAAGATACTTTCAATATAGTGATGGTTGCAATTTGTATTTTGAGGGACAGTTTGTATAATGTGATACGAAAATGTATGTGATTTCTATTGATGACAAAGTTATAGGTACTGCTTATATTATTAAAATCTGTTACCTCCATTTATAACTGAAGGAAATGGTCATTTTCAGGTAGACATTAGTGAAAATAAACATGTACCTTTTTCCCATCCAAGTTCACAGACCCTGAAACTTCTACCCTCAGACTCCACTACGGAACACTGTTCTCGAGTCGTTTCCACAAGAACCCAAAGCCTTAGAGGCCATTTCTTTTCCTTAGTCCCTCTTCTGGGAAAAATGGGGCCAGAGATTCTCCAGGTTTGCATAGTAGACAATTCTAGTTCAACTGGCTTGTTTCAGGGCTGGGAGGCAAAATACTTTGTTTCTTCTAGCTCCATGTTTTTCAGACATTTTTTTTTTTCTTTTTTCTCTCCAAATCCCCCCAGTACATAGTTGTATATTTTAGATGTGGGTCCTTCTAGTTGTGACATGTGGCATGCTGCCTCAGCATGGCCTGATGAGTGGTGCCATGTCTGCACCCAGGATTCGAACCAGTGAAACCCTAGGCTGCCAAAGCAGAGGGCACAAACTTAACCATTTGGCCACGGGGCCGGCCCCCATTTTCAGACATTTTGACCTACAACTCATATTAGAAATGCATCTTGCATTGAGACTCAGTACACATATACACAACTGAAACTAAAATTTCATAGAACAATACCCTACGACATATAGTGTATGTATGCTATATAGTTTGCCAGGCTGCCATAACAAAATATCACAGACTACATGGCTTAAACAGCAGAAGTTTATTTCTCACGGTTCTGGATAGAAGTCCAAGATCAAAGCGCCCGCAGAGTTGGTTTCTCCTGCGGGCTCTCTCCTGGGCTTGCAGATGGCGGCCTTCTCGCTGTGTCCTCACAGGGCCTTTTCTCTGTATGCAGGTGCCCCAGGTGCCTCTCTGTCCTATTCTCCTCTTGTTATCAGGACGTCAATCAGATTGAATTAAGAACCACCCTAATGCCCTTGTTTTAATTTAATCACCTCTTCAAAGGCCCTATTTCCAAATACAGTCACATTCTGAGGTACTAGGAGCTGGGACATCAATACAGAATTTGCAGGGGACACAATTCAGCTCATAACATATTGTAAAGTAAAAATATAACTGTATTTACATAAAACGTTATTTACTAATATTTCAATGCAACAGGTAACCCCCCCCCAAAAAACATTAGAAAAGGGGGCTGGCCCTGTGGCCAAGTGGTTAAGTTCGTGCGCTCCGCCGCAGGCGGCCCAGTGTTTCATTGGTTCAGATCCTGGGTGCGGACATGGCACTGCTCACCAAACCACGCTGAGGCAGCGTCCCACATGCCACAACTAGAAGGACCCACAACGAAGAATATACAACTATGTACCGGGGGGCTTTGGGGAAAAAGGAAAAAAAAAAATTTTTTTTAAATAAAAAATAAAAAAAATTTAAAAAAATATTAGAAAGGATTTTATATATATTGCAATGGATGTGCTTGCTTATTGATACGTTTGGTACAGCACACAAACACACGGGACAATGCAACATGCACAGCTGACACACGGTCAAGCCTTTCTTTTGATTTTTATCAGGTCAGGGTTGAAAATTGCAGTTCACACTAACAGGTCACTGAGGACAGTGATTGTAACCATACATTATTTTTACTTGACAATTGAAAGTTTTCCATCTTACTTAATGTCTTGTAATCATTCTTCAATGTAAATAAGAAATCAGCTTGTTCTTCAGACTCCAAGTTAATTCAGTTATCTGCAAACGCATATTTTATCTAAATATTTTTCTTTAATGTTTCAAATTTTTCCGGGGAAAGTAACGCACAAAAGTTGGAGACAGATAATGGGAGAGGTAGCAATGCGTCTATGGTGTTTGTTCAAATTATCTTCATTGTAACATTTTCTTCATACTGTAGGGGGGGCAGTCTTTTTTTCTTATTTTACTTTCTGTAACAATAATTTCTTTTGAGCCCTTAAATATGCTGAACATGTAGAAATCATGTTTCTCCTGTGGTTTCAAACTTAGTGACAAAGAACACCAAAAAATTAATTAACTATGCCAATTTTGCCAATTCAATATCATCTTGAAAATATTTGCCAAATGAGACTGCTTTCAACTAGAAGAATGTGATTCTCATTCTAGTACTTCTACTCCAAAAGTAGTAGTGTTCCTAGCAAGTACTTGGACAGGATACAATAGGTGGGTCTGGTTAGCCCCAGCTTCTGAACAGAACATGTCTCAAGTGTGCTACTCAGCAAGCTTACTTTACTTTAGTAAAATTTACAATTCCATGGCATTTGTCAGTACATCCACAAGATATGGCAAAATTTCTTTGGATACCAGCGTTTCAAGATGGATAAAACAGTGATGCCAATCAGCACTGCTATTAGCAGCATAGATAGTAATTATGTTTGGTGTGTTTTCTGGTTATATTTACTACTCCATCACTTCTAATTCTTTTACTACATTTTAAATTTAACTTCCGCTGTTCAACATTGTACTTTTCCAATTGTGTAAGTTTCCATTTGGATTTGAGGTTAATTTCACACAGCACTAAGCTGTACGTGCCATGTTCACTGCTGTATCCCCAGCACCTGGAATAATGCATCACTCATACTAGGCACTAAATAAATATGTGATAAGTATATGAGCAAACACTCCACATAACAATCTTGCCACACATATCAGACATAAAGGGTTGCACAACGAATGCCGTCATTGGTCTCATCAAGTTGGACTACAAATTCTATAGGTATTCTTTTAAATTTTTGTCAGTGGCACAGATTAGAAGAAATATTCTATTGTCATTTAGAGATATTTTTAAATTTATTACTTGATTTATCAAAAATCAAATGGCCTATGTCCATGCATGACAGGAGAGTATTTCTTATATGCCTTCTTCCTTTGCCACACAGTATGTCATTAAACATGACATAAGGCATTTTCATTAATATTTATATAACAACTAAGAAATTGGGATGATAATTTTATTTCTTTTTTCTTTCTTTGAACATATTTAAAGGTCTTATTCATAAGTTCAGCATGAGTTAATTTGTATTTATAGTTTGAGGTAGGAGTCAAGGTTCATTTCTCTTTCCATATGAATACCCAATTGCTCCTGCAACAGTTATTGAAAAGATGACTATATCCCTGTTGATTACCTTTGCACCATTTTGAAATGCAACTAATCATATGTGAGGGGGGTTATTTCTAGACTCTCTGTTCTGTTTCTATTTCTGCTGAATGACATGTCTGTCCGTACTGCAATACCACACTTCCCTGATTACTGTAGATTTACAGTAAGTCTCCAAAGACTTGAAATAGGTAGTGTAGGTCTTCAGACTTTATTCTTCTTTTTCAAGATTGCTTTGGCTCCTTTAGGTCTTTCGCATCTCCTGATTCTAAAATGTCTATCTCCAAAGACATTTTAGAATCAGTTTGTCAATTTCTGCAAAAAGAGCTTGCTGGATTGGGATTGGGACTGCCGAATCTACGGATCAGCTTGGAGAAAGTGTTCACCTTACACTTAGTCTACCAACCCAAGCTCACAGTGTGTATCTCCACTCATTCAGTTCTTTAATTTCTCTCAGCAAATCTTTTGAGGTTTTCAGTATATATACAGGTCTGATAGACATATTTTGTTAAGTTTATCCTTAAGTATTTTATTTTTTGCTATTACTATAAATGGTATTGCTTTTAAATTTCATTTTCTGAAAGTTCACTGCTGGTATGTAGATTCCCTTTTTTGTATTGACCTTATATTCTATGACCTTGCTCCGTTCACTTACCTTGTTGTTGTGGTCCCCTGGTTCTCTCGCTTTCCAGGAGCCAGGCCCAGTTGGTTTCGCCTTCTGGTCCATAGGCACCTGAGGGAGGCAGACACCCTGGTCTCAGTGTGCTGATTGCCCAGGGCATCCCAGCTCTTCAAGGCTGTGGTGATGGAGGGATTGCAATGGTGGAACAAGAGGACAAGTCTAATAATGTCATTTTTATTTGGGGGAATACAGAAACTCCAGTGTTAGAACTGGCATTTTATATTATTTGAAGTGTACAGAATTCATAAAATCAGAAAAAAAAATGTAAATATTACAAAACATCTCCCTTGTCCCTCCAGACTTTACTGTTTCCTTTGCCTTCAGTCTCTCCATCCAGGGAACCCGTGGGAGCTGCTACTGGCACTGCCCAGAGGGTTTCTCTACCCAGCTCTGTGTGGCTTCCCCCAGTGCAGCGCAGCGCTCAGGGGCACTACCTCTGGGCAGCAACTCCCATCGGGCCAGGGGCCAAACTGAAGTCATTTCCATTTCTCTCTTGCCAATCTGGGACATCTTCTGGCTCTCAGCATGTTCTGATGCCTCCCCTCGCCCAGAGGAATCCTCGGCTGGGCGTCTGTGGGCTTTTTTCTTTTCTCTTCTCTGTGGGGGCCGTGGTAGATGTGAGGGGGTTGGGAAGTTGTCAGAGCTGAGGGATAAAGAGGAACTAGAAAAATATCAGGCATGATTGAGGGACCGGTGAAGGGATTGGAGACAGAGCCAAGAAGGGTCAACAGAGTGGTGGCCCGATGTCGGAATTAATAGTATTACATCCACAGAAATGCTGGTATTGGGGTAGATAAAAATATCACACAAAAAAAGCAAATAGCAAAGTATACCTGAATACTGAAAAGCAGCACTGCCAGCTCTAGAGCCATCTGAGGACTCTTCACAAGGACGCTGCACCCCATGCAGTCAGGCCTCCAAGTGACTTTTACGGTGAGTAGCTCCTGTCCCTAAAGCAGGTGTTTTTCTCAAGACCAGCTTCCTGGAAAAAGAGGCTCAGGAACAAAGGGCTTTGAGCTGGAAGGCCCAACCTTTTGTGAGAGAAAGTCAGGTGACTTCAAGATACGTGGATCAGGGCAGGGGAAAATGCCTGGACAGGTCTGGCAGGCCGCCTGTGCTTTTCCTTATTCCAGATCCAAGAGAGCTTGCAGTGAGCCCTAAGTCTATTTGTGGATCACTCTCTTCCTGAAGGGTCTAGAGGCCAACTCAAGGCTTTGCTGACCAAATCTATGGTCAGTAGAAGTAACGAGGCATTGGGGAACGCCAGGGGATTTTACAAACAGAGCCTGGGGGGGGGGAGGGGGGGGGAGGCAGACCCTGCAAGTCTCTGTGCCTGGGGAGAGAGCCCCTGGACTTTATAGGGCCCTCCTCCCTGTGGCAGGAGGAAGGGAGGTAGGGTATGTGTCCAAGTGTTCGGATGGCCTGAGGCCACAAGGCCGGCAAGAATCAAAGGGCAGGATGAGCATCTCAAAAGGCTCCTGAAGTCTGCAGAGGGCCCCAGGCCCAGGGAGTGGCCTGCTGCTGTCGCCTGGTTGAGCCCGGATGCTGCCTGCCCTCCCACTCATGTGTGCTGGGCACTCCATGTGGCGAGCTCGGAGAGCCTAGCCCCCTCCTGCCTCTTAGAAACCCTGGGGTCCAAGGCTCATGCTCCGCCTCTCCTGCTCTCTTCCTCAGGGGCAGCCTTGCTTTTGCCCTCAGGCTCAGTCCACCCTGACACCTCCAGGGAACTGACCTGCTCCATCTGCTCTGTGTCAGCCTGTAGGCAGCTCTGCCAACATGGCTTACTATGACACGAACTCCTGGTGTGACCTGTTAGCTCAAAGAGAGGAAGTGTCTAGCCTAGTATGAGACAGCTGACTAGAAGCAGAGTTGGGATTGAAATCAGGTCCCCAGACTCTCAGCGATTAATCAGAAGTGTAGTGTGGTATATAGAATAATGGCCCACTAAAGATGCCCTCACTTTAATCCCTGGAACCTTACATGGCAAAAGGGAACTTGCAGATGTAATTAAGTGTACGGACTTTGAGATGGGGAGAGTATTCTGGATGATCCAGGTGGGCCCAGTTTAATCATGAGTCCTTAAAAGCAGAGAACATTTCCTGGCTCGGTCAGAGAGATAAGACAGAAGAAGGAGGAGAGATTCAAAACATGTGAGGGAGCTGACCCATATTGCTGGCTTTAAAGAAGGAGGAAGGGGCTAAGACCCAAGAAATGTGGGTGGCCTCTAGAAGCTAGGAACGGCCCTCAGCTGACAGTAGCAGGAAAACAAAGATCTCAGTCCTACAGCCACAAGGAACTGAATTCTGCCAACAACCCAAAGGAGCAAGGAAATGGATTCTCCTCTAGATCCTCCCAAAGGGAGAGCTGCCCCACTGATAGCCGATGAGATTCGCGTTGGACTGATGACCTGCAGAACAGTGAGATAATAAATGTGGGTTCTTTAAGTTTGTGGTAATTTGCTACAACAGCAATAGGAAACTAATTCAGATACCTACTGGAGAACCCACAGAACCAAAGCAAGAGCCCAAGCGGCAGACTCCAGGAAGGGCAGGCGGCCGGGCATCGCTGGCATCCTGTGCACCAGAACCTTGAGGGGCTGCAGTGGGGGCGACTGCTCCACGCGTGTTCAGTCTCTGTGTACTTCACACAGGTTTTCAGTTCCCGGGAGAGGATTCATTCTCCCAGCGGGCGCACACACCCATTCCTGTGGTCAGGGGAGAGGGCCACGTGACTGTCATCATGACACTCCAGGTTGTGGAGATGAGGAGTTCCTAAAAGGAAGGCCAGTTGCTCACTACAGTGCTCAGTCACAGTTCTTCTATTAAAAAACATTTGAACGGCAGTTCTTCATAGAGGTTTCTATGGCCACAGGGGCCTGGGAGTAAAAATATTGTCATAATAATGATCACAAATTATTAGTTGTCTGACTCTGCCTCCACCCCTCTGCAGTGCAGTTGTACTGTATCTATGCGATGCTCCCTGAGGGCGGTGATGGGTCTGTCTCGTTGGGCTCTGCATTCCTAGCTTCTGTGGACTGCCTATCACACAGGCTATTCCTGGAGTGAGTGGCCTGCTCTTCCTGTCTGCTCTGTGGGATGTGTGCCATTGTCTTCTTCTCTTCTGGCTGCTGGGTCTCTCCTGTTCCTGATGATACCACGGACAAGAATCTAGCCTCTGACGTGGGCACACTCAGCTCAGCTGCTGGCAGGCACTGCCAGATCTCTGGGTTGGGGGCCAGGACACTTGCATTTGTTACCATGGAAACTACTCAAGCTGTGTTAGTGGTTCCTTGACATCTCAACTTCCCACAGAGGCTGAAGTGAAAGAACTTTCTGCCTTTTGTGTTTCTCTCTATCCTTTAGGTGAGTTCTTTGTAAATACTACTGGTTGCCTACCGAATAGCCAATCTTCCCTTTCTCAGAAATAGCATCTTCGCTTTTTAGCTAGACACATTGCTGTAAAAACCCACATTCCCCAGCCTCTCTTGCAGCACAGCGGCTGTGTTCTGGCCATTGAGGTATAAGGGAATAGTCCTGTGCAGTGTCCAGTAAATGTCTTTAACAGGAAGGGATGGGCCTTCTTCGCTCTTTACTCCCGGCTAGAAAGCAGATGTAATAGTGTGGTATGACAAATAATTTGGTCTTTGTTCTGGGTTCCTGGCATCAAGCTTCAAAAACCTTTAGAATTTCTTGGGTGATAGGAGCATCTTTGTTATGCTAATGAGGTGACTCCACTTGGGCCTCTGCTTTAAGAACGGGCGTAGACGGCAGGGACTTTCAGCTGCCTATCCTTTGGGGAAGGAAGTGGGGCTGGAGATTGAGTTCAATCGTGTGGCCATCATTTAGTTCTCACGCATACACAGTGAAATCCCAATACAGACTCTGGACCCTGAAATTCAGAGGAGCTTTCTGGATGGTGAACACCTTGATGTGCTGGGAGGGTAACACCCTATGAACTCCTTTAGAATAAAACTATAATTCTAAGTATAGGGCTTTCCTGAGTTCTGTGAGTCATTCTAACAAACTATTGAACAAATTCGCAGGAATGCCCAAATTTGTGGCCAGTCAGTCCAAAGTGTGGGGGGTGACCTGGGAACCTGCTGCGACTTGTGGTTGACATCTGAACTGAGGGGCGCCTTGTGGAGGACTCTGCTCTCAACTTGTGGGGCCCGCACTAGCTGAATGGTTAGTGTCAGGACTGAATTGCAGAGCACTCAGTATAGACCAGTTGAGGCAGAAACAGAGTAGATGGCTAGAGCTGATGCTGCCAACTTGGGTCATGAGGCAGCAGATGAAATTTGGCAGAGCAGAAGATAGCAATCCGGATCCTTACAGATTGTGCAGCCACCATATCAACTCCGCGCTGCCTCCTTCAGACTTCAGGCTTTAACTTGACAGCTTTCGGCTGCCACAATCAGACTCACACAAGTTAATGTGAATTTATGAAAAGCTATGCATGCCCTTAAAGAAGATGGGTGTTGCTCTGTCTCATGAAGAGTGGGCTGTCGATGAAGATCCAGGAGGTTCCCAGTCAGTTCCAGAGACTGAGTCAGCTGATTGCCCTGGCTTGCTAAGAGGCATTTGTCCATCTCCCTTCGGCCGCCTGGTGAATCGGCCCCTCCCTGTTTCTGCTTCTACAGGCTGCCCCTCACTGCCAGTATTCGCTGGGAACTCCTGCTGCACTTTTTTGTCTTATGGCTTCAGCCTATTCCTGGATCAGCTTTCTTATGGCTTTCCTGGGGCTAAGGCTTTTCAGCTCCTGCTCCTTCTAATCTCTCTACATCACTTTCAAATTCTGGAGAGAATTGAGAAGATTAGTTAATTGCATTCCTTCTAGTGTGAACAAAACTTTCCTTCCAGACAGCGCACAGAATAGCTGCCCTTGGATCAGATGCCATCCTACTCTTGGTGTATTAGTTAGCTATTGCTGCCTAACAAATCACAACAAACTTAGCATCTTAGAACAACACACATTTATTATCTCACAGTTTCTGCGGGTCAGGAGTCCAGGCATGTCTCAGCTGGGTCCTCTGCTTGGGGTCTCGCAGGCTGCAAGTAAGGTATCAGCTGGACTAGATCTCATCTAGAAGCTTGACTAAGGAAGAAGCAGCTTCCAAGCTCACTCAGGTTGTTGGCAGAATTCACTTCCTTGGCGTGTTGGACTGAGGGTCCAGTCTCTTGCAGTTATTTGCCTGGAGCGCACCCTCAAGGTTGCTTGCAGTTCCTATAGGCCACCTGCAGTTCCTTGCCATGGAAGCCATATGGCTGCTTCATCAGGCCAGCTAAGAGACTCTCTAGAGTGAATGTGGCAGCAGAGTCTTACGTAATGTGACATGGTCAATGAAGTGACATCCCATCACCTTTGCCATATTTTATTGATTAGAAGAAAGTCACAGGTCCTGCCCACACTCAAGGGAAAGGAATTATAAAAGGGGCGTGAACACCAGGAAGGGAATCATGACGGGTTATCCTAGGGTCTGTCCACCACACGTAGCACAGATGCATTTGGGGTGGGGACAGTGGCACAGAATGTGATGCCCAGAGGAGACAGATGCTGAGTTTGGCCTGGGTTAATAGAGAGATGAAGGTTATAAAAACAATGGATGTAAGCAAGTTCAAAAGCCTCATATCCTTTACATGTGTAGCTCACTGCATCTATACGATAAGATTGAGATAAGCAATGGTATTCTCATTCTACAGATGAATGAACTGGAAAGGACTAGATTTCCCTGGCTGGGGATTTGGGCCGAGGGGAGTATCTGGACTTAGAGGAACCACAAAGAGTCAGTATCATTAGACGCACCCCCACCCCAGGCTCTGACGGAGTGAGAACCATCTGGGCCCAATGGCAGAGGCCCACCAGAGCTTCACCAACACTTGCAAACCACCCACTGACAGCTGACTGACCACCATGAGACACGTGCACTGAGAGCCTCTCCTCTGTCAGCAGAGGGCACTAGTTATTTGCCTTTCTCTGGATAACCACCCACAGATGTGGTGCCTGTTGGCATCTCTGCTCAATCCATTCAAACTATCTTGTGTGGACAGCATCATTTTCAAGAACCCAAGATACCAATAAGCCTCTGAAAGTGGCAGGAGGCTTGAGTACCTGAGAAGTGCGGAAGGTTCAGCGCAGCCTGCTGGAGGCCGTCTCCAGCACACCAAGCTCAGTGAATGGGAATTCTAAACCCTAGCAACACGATCACGGGCGAAACATC